GTGTGTGTGTGTGTGTGTGTGTGTGTGTGTGTGTGTGTGTGGGTGTGTGTGTGTAGGGGGGGGGGTACATGTTGGGGAGACTGGAAGAGTGACATACTGGAGACAATGCAATGAGTATCTGTGATTCCCTATTTTGAAAAGCAGAAAGACCCCAATTTTAAAAGTCATGGGTCAGTAGGTGTGGGCAAAAATTCTCATCTTCCTTACTCATGAAGTCTATGATGGGAAACAGTGATATATATATATATAGATATGCACACACTGCTGGATAAATGGATGGTGGTCTTACAAAAAAAAACCATCTTAACAGTAGGTATTATAGAAGCATACAGATTTAGCACTTATATAATAATAAGCATACTTGATCAGGCAACACCCGCCACTAGGTTTAATCCTGAAATAAGATAAAAATAATATGTCAACTTACCCCAGTCAAATGCAAACATACATGTGTAGAAATGCCACAAGTGAAAGACGATACCTGCCTGTGGAAGACACAGCTAGGTTGTGCAGATAATGTGCGACAAATGTATTGGGAGTTGTCCAGTCTGAATGATCTCCGCCAAAGAATGGCAGTTTCAAGCAGCTAACATGCCAGTTGTATGAGTTGATGAACCCAACCAGTGAGCATAATAGGCGATAGATCACAGGAAACAGAGGAATTCCATGGAACAAATAGACAGAAAAGAGAACGACGAAAAGAGGTAGCACGAGTCATATAACATAGCAGGGAATGAACTGGACAAAGTAGTCGATCCGGATCTGAACTAGAATACAGATGGGAAATGGAACATAAGGAAATATGATAAAAGGCTAAACAACCTTCCTGGACAGTCAATGTCCTGGGAAGGAAAGCCCAATCTGGACAGAGGATAACATATGAGGAATGGTAAAGGATGCAGAAAATATTTATGGCATAAATATCGAAACGATGACAACCTCATGCCTGGAGGGGAGAGGAAATATGTCTTAAGGGAAAGATTGTAGAAGGAACACATTGCAATAATTTCAGATGAATCAGATGAAAATAACAAAAAGGGACGGAAATAACCAGGGAAGAGAAAGCTTTCTAGAAGTGGGAGAACAGAAGGTGTTCGACAGGGCAGCCCTATAGCAAGCAACAGTTGAAACAAACAAACCCTGATCAAACAACCAGGTGAAGAACTGGGAAAGATGAGGAACAGAAGGGAGAGATGGTCAGAAGCCATGGTGAATAAACTAAAGTCTGAAGCAAGACCAATGCCTTTAAGTACCTAGATAACGAAAACAGCGAATTGTACAGGCAAGGTAAGATGCTACATGATGGGAGAGTCCCTGAGTTGAGACAATGGACCACACAAAAGCTACAAATGAAGATGGAGTTTGGTGATGTTGGGATGAAATAAGTCCTATCGTAGTTTTCAGAGGAGCAATCAGGACAGAGGGAAGGGAAGTATGGGCCAGAGCAAATGGAACCACGTCTGAGCTGTCCAATACAGAGCAACCAGCAGAACATGACCAGTCTGATCGGAGGGTACTTAAAGTTAAAACTGATGTAAATTTGTGATCAAGCAGAATCAAACTTTGTAGGCACATGGAGAACGAGTTAAAATACACTAGAACATCAATCGAAAAAGTGAGGATTGTGCTAGAATAATAGAGGTTGCTAGCTGCACTAGTATAGATGGCACAGTATGATTGGTGGAAGGTAGTCACATGATCAGCACGTTCTGGAAAGGTGCGAAAATGAAGGAGTATAAAAGACTGGTGCACTGTTAGCAAAACAATTTTTAGCAAACCATGATCGAGATAGCTTTGGGTGAGAAATGTGTAGTACTATTTCGAAAAAGGAGGTCACTACAATGCATGGAAGTAAATTCTGGTCACAACACCAGAAAATTACGTAACTCTCGGGTTGTAGTATTCTCACTTCAAAGAAAGATTATTGCATGAATGAGCTGACTTGCAAAACTCAAGATTCGAAGTTTTCCAGGGTATGGACCTAACTAAGTGTGGAAATTCTATAGAAAGGAAGATGACTACAAACAATTTGACAAATAATGCAACCTTTATTGTAGCTTTAGAACATGTGTCTGATAAAAACAAGAGTAAAGGAATATATTAAGAAAACACATTAAGCTCAAATTAAACAATTTGGCACATGAAAAGTAAAATGAAAAGAGAACTTAACTTGAAATGCTGGATCATGATCATGATCAAGTACAAAAAAAGAATGCAATATGAGCTTTCCAAGTCAGCTTTATTCTTCAAACATAACAGTGGAACTAGTCATAAAACAAATTATATAACCTTTGGTAGATGGCCAACCACAACATTCAGCAAACATGGAACATGAAAGCTCTATCTGCACACATCATTAATGGTTTGGAAACCCACAAGGCTGACAAATGTGAAAACAGACTGACTACCTTGGAATCTACCACGGAAATGAAGTCCCAGGATCTCTTTTGTGAAAATTCTTAAAAGTCATATCTGAGCTACATAAATGTTTCAATCCAGTAGAAACCTGTGTTGCATAGTGTGCAAAGTTAGACACAGAGACAAGGAACTGATATCTATGGCAATGATCTGAAACATTTTCACACAAAAAGAGTACTCAAAAATGTTGTTAATCTGGATGGAGAGCTTCCTTGAGGTAAATATATTAAAAGAATTACCAAACACATGCAGTATCAACCAAAGGCATCCAACCCCGATTCTCTAAATCATCAGGGAAGTAGCAGAACAGACTAATCAAGTAAAGGGCCTGACAGTAATACCTGCAATATCTGAACTGAAGAAAAAAGTCTTGGCAGCAGCACTATCAATAATCTAGATCCAGCAATCAAAGACACCTAAGCAGAGAAATTTGGGATCAACATAATCATAGTACAGAACCACTAACTATATAAAGGAGGTTCGACTTTATGTAGAGTCGTACTTTTCAGGGTTTGAGAGATGCTACATCTATAATTCATTTTCATATTCTTAGCAAGCTAAGGGTGCAATACAGTATTTAAATAATTATTTCATGCTCATCTAATTTTTTTTTAGTACTATGTTTATTTGGGTAGATAAAAACTGTTTCACAAATCTTCAACAGATTTTATACATAAATATACTTTTTGTGTTTAAACACATTAAGTGATCAATTATATATGCTACTCACAATTACTTTTCTTAATATTCCTGTCTGCATATAACTGTTTGAAATAAATTAAGTTGAATAAAAACACTAAAACAAAAGCAAGCACTCTTACACATTCTTTTTTATTACCATCACTACGCCCCTGGTAGTCAATCTGACTATTAGTCAAACATCTAAAAGCCAGTGCTGTACACAGTACATTTGGGAAAAACAGACATTTCCTCACTAGCAAACACCAAGGAAAATGTTAAATACACATTACATCCACTCAATTTCATCAAAATATCCTTTAAGTATTGGACAACTGACACATTTTCAAATATTGGAATGCAAAATTATTTTGGACAAACAAACATTTCCAAATAGTTAATATATTTCCTAATAGACCATTAATATGATTAATGATAAATCTTAATAAGAGTATTCTCAGAAACACAGCAAAGAAAACTGTTTAAAAAAAATTACACACAGAGTAATTAAATTTTAGTTTGAAAACCTGCATGATCCAAGATTTTAGGTATTAAAATATCTTACCAAGATAATTAATGGTTTAGTTGTAGCCAGTTGATATATTTTGATAAACAAACAGTTTGATGAGATAGAAATCTTCACATCATAAATATGCTTTTGATAAAAAGTATTTGAATCAAATTATAGAAATATCAGTCAAATATGTAGCCTTATTACAACAGTTAATTTAAACAGAACAAGGTTATGTTTCATTAACACACAAGTACAACCCCTTCCATTAATATTTTTTCTTTTGATAAAGCTTCTCAAAGATAAATACTAAATACTTAGAACTTGAAGTTAAATATGACTTGTGAGTTACTGTTCTTATCTTATAAAAAAAAAAACTATTATGTATAACCTCAAATCATGTTCTGGTAAAAAAAATAGTTGAATGGAAGCAATTTAATGTATTGCTGCCTTAGTTTATGAGATTTAAAAAATAATCACAACAAAGTGCAAAACTCAGATCTGCAATATCAGAAACATGGTACATAAAAACACAACCAAGAGAAATATTCAATGAAATGATTCAATTTTGTTTCCATATAGATTGAAACCTACTTTTTGAAATGAAAAAAAGAGAGAGAGCAAGAACAATGTGGAATGTTTAATCTACATGTTGCCCATTTATATTGTTACTTTCTTTCCTTACTAAGGTGTATTTTTTAAGGTGAGATAATCTAACAAACTTAGTCAGTTTATCAATTTCAAATTTATCTACCAATCTGCTTGAAACTCCCATACACATACATATTTTTTTTAATTATTTTCCTTGATGATTGTCTCAAAAATAAATACATTTAGTACTAACAACACATGCAGTATATTTTCCTTTTGCTAACAATACTTTTCTGTTTCAACAGTAACATTTACTTTACCACTTCACAATGTTTTAATTCATTTAAATTTCTAACACAGCAAAAAATGCAACAGTTTATGTCACATGTGTCAAACACAAAACTTGAACACTGAGTAACATAGTATCACATCCTATACTCTTACAAAAACAAAAATTGCAGTATTTTAAAAGGTTTGTTTTTCATCTTTAGTTTGAATTTTTCTCATGGTACAAAATCAGAATTTAATTGTGAACCATCTGTAACAATTTTTTTGTCATACTTATCAGTCAATTTTTATTGAATACATATAATATGTAAAAATGTTGAAATTTACTAACGTTATTCATAATGTAAGCATAGAAATAGGGAACAAAAAAGTATTTTAAGTATCAAATATTATAATCACCTTCTAGATGAACAAATAACATTATAGTAGAGACTTGTGCAAACTATTTCAAGAGTATTCCAGATTGAAACAAAAACTTTTAGAGAACAGAGGATAATTTGTTTTGGTCTCAGATTGAGAAACATGAATTTTTGGTAATTACTTAGGACTAACTCTATTCATATTAACTCTCTCACGACAGAAAGGCACAAATTCCTTTTTGCTTAAACAACAAAGCTACAAGCTTATGTCAGCTTCAATCTTAACTGGAGCAGCTTAATTTTAATAGAATGAACAACAAGCATCTTCACAGAATCCAGCAATCAGTAGTGTTGACAAATGATTTATTTTCGATGAAACTTCTTTGATATTAATTAAAAAACGTTCCCTGATAGTAGTATTTCAAATACAGTGAACCTCACACTTAATCCACAGAAAATGTCTTTCACAAAAACTATTGCAACATGTGAATTTTTTGCTTTTTTTTTTTTTACTAAACTCTGCAACTTTATACATATAAATATTTAGTTCAAAATATATTTTTATTTCAGTATAGCGGAATTGAAATTACCATACTACAACTCTTTTACTATATTTTATTTGTTTTTCAACTCAAAGACTTACAAAACAAACATCTTCAACAAGTAGCCTTACTAATTCTTAAACCTTCTATCTGAAAATCACTATTTCAAAATTTATTTTTTAATACTGAGTAGATTCAATTAAAATTTTTGCTGCTTACAACACTTTTACTTATTAAAGTAAAAATTACTTAAATAATGCTTATCTGTTTATTTAATCTCTTTCTCTGTCCAATTGCAATACTTTTTCTTACCTATACTCTTAGCACAAAAAATACTTTCCTATTAATTTTCACCAGTACAGATTTGAAGGAAGACATTTTCAAGAACACATTTACATACATATCATTTCCCATCCCCATTGAATACAAATAAAATTATCAAAACTTTATTAATAAAACTTCTTAGCTTGTGCTTCTTTGTTACTTCTGAAAGGAAGGGGAAAAAATACATATATATATATATATATATATATATCAATATAATTTATTACAAATAGAAATTCCAGTAGTAAAGATACAGCTTATATAATAAGAGCTTAACACTAATGGAATTTTCTTATGATAAGCTTAAAATATAGGTCAATCTCTTGCATTTTTCCTTTTCAAAAAACTACTCACACACACATATCAAAATTCTTCTCTTGAAAATAAATACTTTTAAATTAATATTTTTGCTTTAATTTAGATGGCAGTGTCTGTATAAATCCTCAATAATTAAACCTATCTAGGTCAGTGGGCATCAAGAGCATAGTGGATATCAAATTTTGCAATAAAAACAGTAATTTTAACTCTATTTTTAACAATTTTTTAACGTTAAAATACCTAACAACTGACATTATGTAACTTTGCAAAACGTATTTAGTGTAAACTGTAGAGAAAAATAAGAAAAGTGTTTGAACTTTGATCTCTGTGCAGTTCTAATGGGTATCACCTGTTAATAAAGCCCATAAGCATTTTTCTGCCTATCCCAAAGTAGAGATTTATTTATATTCATCCAGATTACTTCCCCTCTCTGACTGTTTTCAAGAAATCTGTGTTGAGAGGCTTTTATGATACCACAGCAAATGGGTTGGATAACTAATAGATCTTAGCCTCCAAACAAGACAGAATCAATAGTTGTAAGCACTAATATATGATTTCTGAGAATATGAGTAGCGTAAGTTTTCATAGTTGAAAATAAAGGATTCTAAATGCAAAGTGTAAAAACCTAGTAAAAAGTCATGAAACTGAAATTTTTCCTATTGTTTATTTTGAATATGTTTTCATTTGTGATAATTTTTTTGTGTTATATTATGTATGTTTTGCAACTAAAGGAATAGTCTTATATGAAAAGGCAAAATGTGAGGTTATTTAGGGTTAGTGAGTATGGTAAACTTGGAGCTCTGTGATAGCAAACTATTCTGATGACAGAAAAGCTTTTATATTTGTATAAAGTATGGTAACTCCTTATTAATAGTAACATACTATAATTATTGAAGTGAAACTAAGCTTTACCAAAAATACAGTTGGGAAAATATCACTTATGTCAGTGTAAGCCTAGGATACGAGTGTAAGTTTATATCTTCAGGTCAATGCTTTAACTGTTCATTGGTGTTTTATGCTACTTTTGCAGTTACATAACTGCTTCAAGAGGTAAAGATAAGTAACAAATACCAATAACTGATGAAAACAAGTTTAGACCTAATAGGATATAAGAAAATTAAACTTACTGATCAGTAATATTGAAAAAATCCAGTTTTATTCTTTCTTTCATATTTTAATAGTCATTACTTTCTTTATTTTGAACAGACAGCAATTATAGATCAGTTTAAAAAAAAAACTCTACTGGATACATGATACATGAACGGAGGTATGTTTTAATATTTTGTAAAAATATAATTTCAAAACACTATTTCTGAAAATTTGCAACCTATGATACAAATACTAAGCCAAATTATGTAATTTTTAATGCACAAACTACATAATATGTAGAAAGTGTGCACTAAATTTCATGCAATTAGGTTAAGCATATTAATTGTGAGAACAAACAAGAGTGAAACAGCATCGCCCTGCTGGTCCACATATTGATAAGTTTGGGAACTATGGAAATCCCATAAGAATAAATTTATGAGAATACTGTATACTTTTCTCAACATCAAATAAACTTAATGGTATACCAATGGAAGTAACAGTCAAAATATCAATGACAAGAGAGACTAAGAGATGAAATTAGTAAGTTCTGTTAAGCAGAATATATTTTTTATAAAAATTGTTTGCAGGGTAAGATTTTTACTAAACTGGATTCAGAATTTTATGCAAAGTTACACAAGAGGTTATCTGCACACACTAAGCCCTTCCTAATTTTGAACTGACAGACTCTTGGGTTACTCTTATCTGATCAAATAGTTGGGTTTAAACATCACTATAATAATGCACTCATGACCCCAAAGTCCACAGTGCATTTTTGAGGCAACAGGACACAAACACTTTGGGCACACTAACTACATGACTAAGTAGAAAGACAAAAATTTTACATTTCATTTTTTATTCTGAAAACAAGCTGACCTATTTATCAACTCTCACAGAAGTAATAAGAACCAAAATATCTATAAAACAAGACAATATAGTCTAAATTTCAAGCAATAGACTGAGTTATTCACAAAGTACAATTTCACAATCAGACTTTGTTTTTTAATTTTACTGTTACCCTTATAAAACCCTCAGTGCAAAAAATAACTGAAAGTTAATTCAAAAATAGAATAACAGCAACTGTTACAATAGGCAATTTCAAATCTTAATCATCGCAAAATTTTGACCCACAGTATTGGGTTATCATCGGGTAAGAGTTACCACTCAATTGAATGTAACTCTTACTTGATGGTGACTCAATATCATGGGTCAAAACATTGTAGTTATTAGTAACTCTTACTTGGTGATGACTCAATACGATGGGTCAAAACATTGTAGTTATTAGCAACTCTTACTTGATGATGACTCAATACCATGGGTCAAAACATTGTAATTATTTGGATCAGAAGTTGCCTACTGTAAAAGTTTCTGTTATTGTATTATTGAATCAATTATTATGTTCAGTAAGTTACTTACTAAATATTAAAGTGAAAGTTAACAAAATCAGTAAGATTATACTAACATAAAGTTTCACCTTCCTCCAAAATGTACAAATTATTATTTTTATTAGTTAGTTGTAAATATTTAACAAATACAATGTTTCTAAATAAAAAGATAAAAAAGTAGCCAATATTGAAAAAAAAATTACACACTAGTGTCAACATTGTGTATTATTATTATTATTGGAGTTTTTGAAAGGATATTATAGTAGATGTATACTATATTTTTTGCATTTTTATATTTCTGAAAATAAATTCAAATTATGAAGTTGTAGTTGCTTTAAATGTTTGTTTTGCTTTACACAGTGTTCACTTTCAAACTCAAAGTAGTTGCATCAAATCTAAACAATCATCTAAAATATAATTTAAAAAAAATTAAAAACAAAGAACTTACTTGTACATAATGTAACCTATCATAACTGCCAACTGAACACCCATAAAAATGAAGAAGTAAACAGGTGTCAGACAGTTAACTGCTTGCACTGGTGGACAAGGATTTGCCTGAAAAAACAAAATGCACAGTCAGAAGATACCATAAGTCTAGTGAAACAAAACCATAATAGAAATAATTCAACAGAAATAAATTTTGTCACCTAGGCAGAGAAGTTTTAAATGCAAAATACTGTAACAACTAATTTGAGAATTATTTAGTTTATACTTGCACTATAATATGCCTCAAGTTACACTTGTTTCAGATGTTTGGGAAAGACTTCTGAAATATGGAAATACTTGTTGTATTGAATGTTTAAAAAAAGAAAAAAATATTGAATATAATACAGTGGAAAGATTATAATTGGCTGATGTTTTACAAACCAGTAAATAGTGCACTTATTGGAATGAGATGATACATAAATACATCATTTTGTTTTGTTCAGTAAAGTTCGGATTTCAGAATTTTCTGATGAATTGTCTGTGGTAAGCAACTTTAAACAGTGAGGTCACAAATTTCTGGAAACCACAGTATAAGTATTACAAGAGTAATGTAACATTTTTTCTTACATTAAGAGATTTTTTCATATAAAATACTAAGCCTGTACTAATGTAATACTACTGTTTGACATTTGATGTTACTAATATGCCAGAAGTTAACTATCCTTCAGTTGTATGTATTTTTATAATAATCTTGATAACAAATAAAACCAATACAAGAAATAGCTGCTCATACAAAAATATAAAATGTACCTGTGTTTTAGCATTCACCGAAGCTAAATCTCTTTTTACAATATTCAGTCCATCCTTCAATTCATTCAGCACTGTGTGGCCTTCAAATACTTGACCTCCACCTGTTTTCTGAGCAGCAATAATATTTCCAGTTCGTTGATGAATGTCCACAACGTATGCCCTAACGCAAAAGTAAATCCAAGATAAACCTGTCAGCCAACTATGAAATTGAAATGAAAATACATTTTCCATACACTGTGTGGAAAAAGCCAGAGGATGAAAGATTAATGAAGCACTTGTTACACACAAAATAAATGAGACAAACATTTCAAAAATGTTCCCTTTCTGAAGAATACCAAGCATCTTGACATAATATTAATATACACCACATTTATTCTATTAGACAATGACACCTGTATGTTTGTTGTTGTTGTTGTTTTTTTACTTTACTCTAAGCTGTTCCTAGAAATGAAGATATTAATTTATGATGCGTCACTGTTCAACACCATACATAGAGGTTAAGCTCTCACTCATAAGTTTGTCTCAAACTAGAAATGTGAACATTTTGCAAATTATGAATAATGTAATATATTAGCACATGCACACTTAAGAACTTATGCTTTTCATGCTTAGTCATCATGAATATAGAGTAACATATTACATCATATCCTTCCAAACAATGGTAAATTCTTCTTTTCATTCTCATGCAGTTTGATTTTATTTGTTTTGAATTTCACACAAAGCTACTTGAGGAGTATCCATTCTAGCTGTCCCTAATTTAGCACATAATAAACTAGAGGGAAAACATTTCCAATATTGTTGTACATAATTGTATAATATGTTAATAAGTATGTATATAAAAAACATTTTTTAACAAAATAATTTACTTTGAATTTCCACTGTAGTTTGTTTCCTTTTGAATGTGTGTGTTGATTGTTGAAACACACATAAATCATTCAAAATGATTAAATTGAAATAACAATTAATTATGAAGAAATGTAATCAAATGTTTGAAAACTTACTAAATATTTTTTTTTAAATTCTTATTACTTAATACTTATAAGGTAAAATCAAATCTTCCTGATGTGACTGGGACTGACAATGTGACAGAGGTTGGAGCCACATCAGCACTGCTAGCTCTGCCAGAAGTTCCAGAAATGCTTGATGAAAAGGGAAACATGCTTACCGATTTCATAGATGGTGGGTCGATTAATGTATGGCAACAGGTGGAAATTAATATCCTATGGGAGACAAAACAGCCAGGTGGTGAAGATAATGAGCGACAAATGTTTGTGGAGTCATACACATGCCTGCTGGGAGAATCTCATTTGAGGGCCGTCAAAAATGGGACACAAGATAATGAGAAAGTTGACAAATAGGATGCAAAGAAATGTGAAATAGCCTGCAAGCATCCACACCCTAGGAAGAATATATCAACTGGAGAGTTGACACACCAATCCAGTAAGGGTAGAAGAAGAGAGGTCCCTAGAAGAAGAGAAGTCACAGATGATAGTGGGGACCCTGAGAGAAGATGTCAAGGGATAATCAACAGTCCAAACAGGATACAGGAGCCAAGCCTGGGTCCAAGTGATCATAGAGGTGAGAAATAGAATGAAGGAAAATAGAAGAAAAGTATGGGTTAAAGACTCAGGCAAGAATGGAAGTTGGGTGAGGAGATTGGTAAAGAAGGAAGGAGTGGAATAGAGTGGACAGGGGAAAAAAGCACCCTGTGGTATCAGAAAAGGCAAATGGTAGTGGACAACACCACCCGATAACCAGTAATGGTGGAGACCAACAAACCATAGTTAAACACTTAATAAAAAAGGCAGAAAGGTGGTTCATAGTAGGACAGCCGGGAGGAGAGGCAGATGGAACAATGATGAAAGACCTGCCACACTTGTTGATAAACAGACAAAGTGGAAAGGCAATAGAAATGCAACAAGAAAAATGCTTCATGATTGGAGATGGACCAGAGAAGATGAATAGACAACATCCCTTGATGAAAAAAAGGACATGCAAAATTGAAGCAAGGGTGAGGGGTAGAGGGTATAGAAAACAGGTTCTGGATGCCAAACAAAGAAGGAGAGAAAAACAAGGCAGAGTTGAACAAAGTGTCACCACTGTAGGACTCAAGAAGGAGTGTCACATATCAAGGCAAGGAAGTGAAGAGGAGGATATGCTGAAAGCATCAACAGAACAGCTAGATCCAAAGGATGATAAACAGGTGAGTAGAAGATAGGAAGCTTAGAATCAAGAGGGGTGACAAAGATATCTATGAGGGTGTGTCCAACAAGAGCAAACCCCACAAAAGACCAGGGGATGGAGAGATCACTCTGTGGGTAGAACTCAGTCCAGCTAAGATAGGCAGTCTGCCACAAGATTTAAAACTCCTGGCATATGAAAGGCAAAAAAGACAATTCTGATTTAAATGAATGCAGAAGAGTAGGTCCAATGCCCAAAAGCAAAGGATCCTGGTAAGGGTACCCCTTGATGGTTGATGTAAAAAACTACCATGGAAATGTCAGAGTGGATTATGACTGATTATTCCATTATAAGGTGCAGGAAATGGAAACATGCCCAACGAACAGCAAGATGTTTGAGCATGTTATGTGGACTGAATGTTTCTCCTGCATCCACACACCAGAAATCATATCATTATCCAGAGATGCACCTCAATTTGAAAGGGAAACATCGGTAAAGAGATAGAGATCTAGTTTGGGAAGTAGAAAGAGAACACTGGAAATAGTTTTGCATAATCCAGTCACCATGACAATTCCTTGAGTAGAGAAGAGATGAGGTTCACAAATGAGGCCAATTGAACCTAAGAAAGAAACTATTGGATATGCAAAGTCTACTGGTGGAGGCACGTGTGCATGCCTCAAAGGAGTTCCAGGGAAGCCAGAGTCCTCCAAAGTGAAAAAAACCCTTACACAGGTTGAGAATGAGAAGCGTAATTCCTTGCGACCAGATACTCCATAGCTCTCAGGTGAAAAGGAGAAAGCCAAGTTTGACTGAGACAAGAGATGAAGAAAATGCCCAGATGTACCAAATATTGAGTGGACATGAGAAAGGACTTGGATAACTTGACAAGCCACCTAAACTAATCAGCCTCCTGCAAAAGAAAATGGGTCAATAGAAGCCAATCATCCAAGAAAAAGGAATGACTGTTCCAATTCATGAAGATGGCATGTGAAAGCCCTCATGGTATAAATGACTATAAAAGGGGCCGACGTTATGTCAAAGGGGAAAGCAAAGAATTGGAAGATGCAAATCCAATGGACAGAACATAGAAAATATCTGGTGGATGGGGCAACATGGATGTGTAGAAAGGTGTCCAACACATCAACCATGGCCAACCACAGACTGGGTGTAAAATACCACAGATGAGGTCAATGGAAGGAGAAGAGAAAATGGGAAGAAGAGCGAAGAGAAGTGTGGAGAGAACATGAAAAACATCTGTTGGCAGAAACTGAAACCAATGGCTGGCAAAGAGGAAGAGATGTGTACCCAAAGGGCTATGTGACAGAATAGCCAATGACAAGAAGAGCAACGAACCAGATATCGGGTAGCGGGAGGACAAGAAAAAGAGGAATAGTAGGGGTAGACAAAACCAGATGAGGAACAGGAGCAAGGTCAAGAAAGAAGAAAAACCTGGGAAAATAACAGTGAATGAAGCCATGCAACTTCTGTCCAGGTTTTCAGTGAGAAATGAACACCACAAAACACTTCTGGGTGAAGAAAAGGAGCCCAATGAAGATCATGTGCACAATGTGTACAGTAAAGAAGAACACAATTCGACCCAACATCAGGGGAACTAAGCAAAGAGGGACAGAGTAAAAGTGGAACATGCTTAAGTTAGAAAAAAGGAGGAAATGAACTTCTTCAGAAACCCCTCTGGAGCACAATGAAGTGCCTCAAACAAAGGGTGGAGGGAGGAGAGGAAATATAGAAATATGTAGATTCAAAAATGGAGAACTAGAGAGTGAATTAGAAGGCAAGGGGACCAATCCTGAAGAAGGCCAAACAGATATCTAAGACTGGGAATATAGAAAGGAAATGAAGAAAGTCTGCAAGTCAGGACAAAAGTCACATACACAAGAGAGACAAAGCATAAGTGTGTGAGTGAGGTACTGTTAGAGAAAGGAAACAGCATAAACCCTTAATAACAAGCAAAGAAAGAAAGAAAGACAAAGCAATCCCAAGAAATGGGTTTATGGATAAAGAACAGGCAGTATTAAATGAAACAGGCAAAAGATAAGGAAAAGTAACTAAGTTGAGAACGACAACCAGAAAAAGATTGAAAGGTTAAGATCATTCCTTGAATAGTAATTCATTGCCCAAAGCAAATTAAGTTAAATGCATAATCCAATATGCTATTCACAACCAAGGAAAAAGAATGTCAGCTGAAGGGATGGGAGTATGAGGCCTAATAAGCATGTGGTAATCCATAACATGTTGAACAAAGCCTGCAGTGTCTCCAACAGATGAAAAGGCTCCAAAAGCCATAGTAAAAATAAGGCTTGTGTGTGTAACATTGTAACTTACACAAGACTATGAAAAAGTCACTTTCATTTGAAAATTCATGATAAAAATTAAAACTTTTGAAACAAAAGCTAAAGAAAACAAAGATCAATGTTTTGTTAACATACACAAATCTCATCAACTGGAACCCAGATGAGAAATTTGAACATGCCTGTTCAATGCAATGCTGAGGAAAAGAATGAAGTTATCATGAGTGCAAGTGCATAGGGAGTTACTGCGCATGGAGGTTGTGTCGCCCTCCTATTAGTGGAGGGCTATTGTCACATGATGATGTCATCATACACCAGTGCAATTCATATTAAACATGTAAATTTAAGTTATAGTTAACTCAAGGCTAGTGACATGCAAGTCTTATAGGTAAACACTCAAGGAAAATAGCATTTCTGTGTGAAGAGGTGAGTTATTGTCTCTGAATGTCCATTTGTAGTACCACTAGATACTAGATTGTGTTCACAGTTCTTCTCCCTTGAGTTCAAATTAGGTTCTTTTTGAGGGCAATTTTTTCTCCTGTTGGATATATAAGTATAATATATGCTACTTTAGAATAACCATAAGGTAAAATGTGCAGACTCTGATACAAACATAGCAAAATGAAGAAAAAAAGAAACAAATTAAATAGGACAGAAGCATATTTGACCAGGTGTCAATGAGTCTGTAAATAAAATGTTTCAGGTCCTTAATTCAAATAATGAAGAATTATTTTAGGTAGGAACAATTGAAGTTAAGGCTCTGGAGAGTAGCATGTTAGATCACAAAAATAGTATCTCATAGACAGTACATTTTTGAATAACAAGAAAAAATATATAGATAAATGAAAACATATACAATTATTTCAATTTTCTACAACTACTCATACAGTAGAACACACCAGTATTTAATAAGATACAAGCCCTCAGTTACAGGGAATCAAAAGCACATGAAGCCACATATGATAAACCAATGGATGTAGAACACAATGTTTTGAACCATAACAGTTTATACCAAAAAAGTTTGAGTCTACTAAAATTGACAATCAAGTACACCCTGATTATGTGTAGTTAAAACACAGAAAACTAGAAAGAAAAACTACCACAAGTTTTTAAATATGAAGTTATATTCAAGCTGTGAATAGGTGAAAAGAATTTAACATGTGAAAGTGTATTGTTTTTAGTTAACTTATGTTAAATAAAATATTTTATTTAACTTATACATTCTACTATTTTATTACCATCTTCTTTAATTTCATTTATGCTTGAAGTGATTCTTTCTAACTGTCATGCAATGAAGGTTTAGTTTTGTGCTAAAATAATATTTATGATAATATATATAATTAAATTTATGGTTTGATAAAAGAAATGAGCTGAAAAATTTTAGATATACAATGAAATCATAAGATTCAAAACAAAAATAATCAAAACAACCTGAACTATATTTGAACTTACTTCATGTCCCGGCTGGCCTGTACCATTTCTCTCTGGTTATTCAACATGGCTTCCACTTCATGACGGCCTACAACACCTCCTTGTGGAAGACCTTGTCCTCCTCCTCCTCCTGCTGCACCTATAGAAAAATTCGAGTTAATATAAAAAAAAAAACTTTCTGCATACAAAATACTGAAAAAAATAATGAATTTTTTCCCTTCACCAATTACATTATAATTAAGAATTTTCTTACATCTTCAATGAAGTTTAACTTGTTAAGTTGATATTTTTTAAGAGTAATTATATAAGCTATGTAAAAAATAAAGATTTTTGAATAACAGAATATATTCTCTAACCAAAGATATATACAATTTTTGTCCTATTTCTACATACAAGACTATCTTATTCACTATAATTGGAATATGTAATTATCGGTCATATATTTCTGTACAACCTATGGTTTATGTATAATGAATACTTCCTCTGTTTAGTTAAAAGACTAGTTACATACTAATTTCATACTTCTTCCAAAAGTAAACCTTAGTTTCTGTTATTCTTTATTTGTAAAATTTTTGTGCAATAGGATGACAGATGGCTCACTTATGCCATTTTGTTTTATATATGTATATAGATTTTCTCCTCATAACTCAAGATCCAGCCTGCTGTGTTATTTTAGAAACAAAGCTCTTCTCAAAACTTTTGAAACTCATTTCTCACAAAATGGACATATGCCTTAGTTAATCACTATACTTTCAAAAGCTTTTTATAAAATGCATTACAACTCAGCGTGCAAGTAAATTTAACAATCATTCCTGAAAATTGTACAAAAAAAGATGCATAAACCAAGCACACAAAAATTTACCACTAAACATTTTTCAGTTTTAACTATACATTTGTTTTAAGAGACTCGTGTCTGGCTACAGTAGCTTAAGACACATAACATTATTTACACACATAATACGTATTTACAAACCTTATAAACATACAGAAGCTTAGAAATCAGATTTGATTACTTAGGAAAGCATATCCATACTAAATTAGCTTCTACAATAAACTATACAAAGTGTTAGTGACTGAAAAATGTCAGAAACACACCTCCTACTTGAACAGCAGAAAGCATTGACAAAACCCTCTCTTCTCTTCCAATCACTTCATCCAGTTTACGATGTACTCCTTTCATCATCTCAAACATCTGGCTTTGTCCCTGGAATATCTGTCTAAGTTCTCGCTGTTGATGACTCTCATACTGAATCAAAAGTAAAATTAATACAGATAAAAATTTGACACTGTCTGATCATCTCTAAGTGTTCACAAAACTTTTATACCATGAATGTTAAGAAGTGTAAAACATTTTACTTTTCTTACTTCTGGATAACTTTCTTAAATCACAACTTTAAGCAGATTACAGTATAAATCATAGTTTAACTCAAAGATGGATGTGGTTCATATATCAATTCTCAAACTAAAAATTTCATATGTAAAACAAGCAAGATATTTTCAATAGCTGATTCAACGATTTTAGTTTATACTCTATTTGCTAGAATTACAAAACCTATTTAATTGTAGAAGCCAAAGTTAACTAATCAACAGTGCAGGAACTTTTTTTATTTGACTCCTAAAAAACCTTTTATAACAAGTTTGCTTCTTATAACAAAAGTACAAGTATTCTAACATTAAAGCAAGAAAAGAACACGAGTGATACCAGGTAAGGTAAGGAATAACAGAATATAATGAAAGCTTTACATCATGTCTGATGACAGAAAAATTATCACTATATTTTCAAGATACAAAGAATTAATTAAAAATGAATTTTTTAAAAGATAGCTGTTAAATTGAGAATATGAAATTAGAAATAAAGTTTTTATAGGTACACATGAAACTCAGGTAAGTTCTACCTCAATTACTAAATAGAAAAGCAGCCCCAATATTTTCTTTTACATTCCGAGTTAGAAAGCAGATTACTGATACCAAGCCCAGTTAATATCAGTTTATATCAGTTAATAATATGAGACAGAGTTCCATATTATCATCTAGTTCATCATTGATAAGATTAAAATAACACTAAAATACACTTTTACTGCAAATATACAGCAAGTATTTCAAAATATGCACCACTGTGTAAGCCTCAAAATTAAAGCCAAATGAAATTCCTTGTTTGTCAACAAAGACTTAGCATACTGATGGTTTTGAAATTTGAACAATAGTAATTCATTGATGCAGTCCTCTAGTAAGAAGAAATAAACACTTTTAAAAATAAGTAACTGTCCTCTTTATTTAATATAAAATCTATTAAAACAAAGGAGTAGACATAAAAGTACAAATGTCATTCCTCTCAAGCACTAGCAATTGGTTTATACACATGCTAAAGTTTAAAGGGTTATTCATACACCACAACTACATAAATACATGTTGCTTATGTATAAAACCAATAGACATACCTCCTGCTCTGGATCAAATTCCATTTGCTTCTTCTTTGCTTCATCTGGATGCTGTTTTCGGAACCTAATACATTAAATTTCAGGCTTTAATCTTTCAATCTGAAGACTGTGAAAAAATCATTTATGCTCAAAATTCTATTTTTCTTTTAATTATAAAAAAAAATAGCAATAAATGAAAACAAGTTGATAAGTCTGTCCTTGCATTTATTTTAAACAAAAAGGGCTAAAAATATGTCAGTGAAAAATAGAAGGACTGTGCTTCATTTGATAACATAGTGCAAGATAATTTGCATTAGAACCATAAAACCTTGAATATTTATTCACAGTTTATATTTAAAAGAAAATCAAATAATGGTAGATAGTATAATGAATAAAGCTAATTGTAAAATAGTGTAAAGATAATATAGTTAAAGAAAGAAAACCTGATACAGAATCAATGATATCAATTGTAAATCAGACTCAATCATAATGAAGAAATAATTATATAACTCAAACACTATTAATGCATATCTGTTATGCTAAGTATCAAAAACAAAAGTTCCAATTTCATGTTACTTATGTCTAAAAATCTTGATTATTCAATGAATCAATTATGAATAAAAACATCATCAAATATGCTAATTAAGCACATCACAATTTTTTATAAATTCATAAAAAATAACAATTTATTAGCTAGTAGTGGCCTTTCATTTTTTCTTTATCTTTTACCATACTGCTATGTTCTTCAGGTATTCAAAATAGATATCTGGTAAGTATTTTTATGATATTAACATAAAATGCAAATACTTAGCTCTTTCTTCCAGAGGCTATAACTAATATAGCAACCAAGAATATACAAAATTACTCACTCCTCCTTCTGTTTATCAAGCTTTTCTTTATATTGTTCATATTCTTTAGAAAATTTCTCTTTTTCTGCATCAGCAATACCAGAGGGAGTCTAAATGAAACAAATACATTATTACAAAGATTATTTCACTATTTTTTTTTTACTAGTGAAAATAAGTGTAGAATGTTTTCCTAGTTTTTCTTAAATAGTTGTGTCACTACAATGACAAGAAGTATGATCATTTTAGCCCTTCACTTTTAATGATGTGTCATAACACACCAATAAAAATTTAAAGCTATTATGAAAATAGGTTATGTTTTTTTTTGTTACCATAAATTTTGTTGTATATTGTAATGGATACATTTAAAGTTTCCCAAGAATTCATAGAACAAATACTTCTTAGTTTAAGTCAAATTATAAAAATCACATACAATCCGATATTTGTTTTTATACCTAATACATTTTTCTTGCAAATTACAGTTATTTGTATGTATATTCTAATTATTTTAGCACAATTAAAACAATGCATCATTTTTACAAGAGCTATAAAGTGACTGACACAGAGCAGAGAGTAGAATATATGCAAGTGTTCATGTACAAACACCAACTTATTGTTTGTTTGTTATTAAGCACAAAGTTACACAATGGGCTATCTGTGCTGTGCCCAACACAGGTATGTAAACCAAATTTTTAGCATTGTAAGTTCTCAGACTTACTGCTGAGCCAATGGGGAACCCACATTAATGATAGCTATTACAAAGGTTAATCTAAATACTCTAAACCTCTGGTTTTATTATTATGAAGAGGAGATTGAACACAGAACCAAATACTACCTCCTCAACACAGTTTAAAATCCCCATTAAATATATCACATTTAATATAAATTTTTTTCACATAAATTAAGACAGTTTTTTTTTGTTAAGATCTAATGTGAATTGTAATAAGCTAGAAGAATGACAATTACTCACTGGTTCAGTGCCAGGTGGGTGTAGACTATACGTCATGAACTTCAGTACATCATGATCATCTGTAATCAATTAAACAAATGTAACCTAATAATTAATGAAAGCTAAAAACAGTTTTACATATTAAGTATAAAATCTATAATTTCTTTATGTGAACAATATTACAGAATGCCTTACAATTACTTTTTTTCAGAATGTTTACAAAATTAAATAACTACAATGTGAATAAATAGTTCCTGTATTGGAAAAGTAATGTTGAATACAATTCCAAAAGTTTGAAGTGTATTTTCGTGAAATTTGGCAAGCTTTTAGTCAACAATATAATTATGTTGTACACAAGATATCAGATATGTCACTAAAATATTTGTACTAAAAGTGTGTCTATAAAATGCTGAAGTCAGTCTTAACTCAGACTAACAACTCGGAGTGCAAGGTGATGTTCATGTGAAGAATAAAAATTGTACAGTTTACAAAATATATTTGCATAGCCTTTACAACCTTCTACATGCACATAAAAATTGTACAGTTTACAAACTGTATTTGCATAGCCTTTACAACCTTCTACATGCACATCTAGTTGGTTTTTTTCACTATTCCTGTATATCGAATCCGGTAATTTTCAAACTGTAACACGAACTGTTACAAAATCAACAATGTATGTAACATGAAATGATGATAACCTTGACATCAAATGCATAATAACATTGAATGGCACTCTGTACAAGGTCGGGGCACTGTGTACATAAGGACAAACAGACTAAAAATGTGCAAAGTTAATGGTATTCAAAGATACAGTTGTAAAGCTTTTTAATAGAATTAAACAAAATTTTTACTTTTAGTAATTAAAACTTCTGTAAAGCACAATAACTTTGTGAGCAAGAGGATCACTGTGCATATTTTTCAGAACATACACAGCTATATTTATCTAAATTCACTCATAACACTGAGCAATACTACAAATGTTTCCATATTAAGCAGAACCAATGACCACTCTCAGTCTCTAACAATGGAAACACAAAATAAAACAATACTAAGACATGTTTCCTTTAGAGATACTAACTGTGCTTAAAAATTAAAGCTTTTAGGCTTAAGTTGTTGCTTAGTTTTATAAATAAACAAATGTTTATTGGAATCATGTTATACCCATCCAATGGGCAAGAAAACTAATCATCTAACACAGAAGTTTTAAAACTAGTACATCAATAACTGATTGGAAACTGACACTGCAACTAAAATGGATAGAATTTATGAAATCTGACTTTTGATGATAAGTACGTGGAAAAAATTATCTTTCAGATGATACCTTATTCAGTGTTGTAGTTATGTCAGAATGGCTGTATACAGATAACAGATAGTCCTTCAAAGAAAGGTAGGAAGGTGAACAAATACAAGTTTCACTCCATTATAGTAAAATATATTAATACTTTCTTCCTAATAAGTAATAAACTGTAAAATAAGCCACCCAAGACATAGTACCAAACATGCCTAAGACATAAAAGTAGATAACAAATATGTACTTTCTAATAAATTTCTGTCTATATCAACCTTTCATTCTTCTTTTGCCTAAGTAACCATTTATAAAAAAACAAGTGATGAGCAACACAAACATTTTACATCCAAACTGAACCTTGCAGCAGTATAAGTATAGAATCATCTACGCTATCAGAGCAAATGTTGTGAACTCTTAGCACTAATTGATTTTATTTAGCAAGCATGGGTTTGTGTTTGTGTATAGGTAATGCTTTAATACCTGATGTCCATGCAATCTTTTTTGCCATACCTTGAAATTAAACAAAAAAAATTATGTTAATTGTGCTGAAACATTTGTTTCAATGGCTTTAAACCAAAAATACATATACAACTGGTGAATGCATAATATAAAAGTTTCTTTTCATCATATGACCATGGCTGGTAGGTATAAAAGTAACACAGTGTTAGCATGGATACCAAAATAAATGGCAGAAGGTTATACAAACAAGTATGAGTAGCTAGTACATGAAGTATGTTTGAGGCAATATCTATGTATATAATTATGTATGTGTATGTAAACACACACACACATGGTACATAGAGGAAAATAAAGCCATAAATGTAACAACTGACTATACGAAAGCAATTATTATATACCATCCAATATCAAATTGAATAGCTGAGTGCTCTTAAGCAGGTTGGCAAAGTTATGTTGTCATTTTTCATTTTCAAAGTTTTTTTAACTAACGGTGTGTAAGATGTTAGATATTAAACCTCCACCAAACTACTCTGTTAAATGTTTTTTTTTTGTGTTTTGTTTTTTTTTTTTTTTTTCTTTAAAGATACCTATAAAAGCTTTACCTCCTATTAATGTTTTCGTTCAGGGTGTTAAACTTACATCCAGGCTCACTCTGCATTTTTAATAATTTATAATTTACATTTTTCTGAACATAATAACCTGTGTTCTACAAAATGGTCATACAGGTTTTTTTAAAAAGCCATTTTTTTTTATAATCAATGTATCAAAATCTCATTTTTTCTAAACTTCATATTGTGAAAATACACTTTAGCACTACAGCTTTCATAATAGTTTAGATTAAGTATTGTAAAACACCTTTTAGCTTGAGTTTTTTTCACAGTACATTAAATACATAGTAGAGAATGGCAATGTTATATTTTTCCTAAACATATTTCAATATTTAAAAAATCAAGAAACATACATTCTTCCACAGAATTACAGGCTTAGTCCCTCTTTTTTATTTGACTCCTGAATATACATTATTTAATTCTTAAGATTCTTGTTTTATCAAACAATAAATGACAGAAAATTTGTATATTTTACAAAATTCTAGTTGGAAATCCAATTTGTATAGAAATGTTCTAGAAATTCTTGTTCGATTTTTACAGAATTGCACATCAGCATACTCTAAAAGGTTTGTTTTTAGCTTTTCAATTAGCAATGCTTCTTTAATTCTACAACATAAAAGATACTGCATTTTTCATATGTATAACAATATGCGAGGTCAGTAGATTCTTCTTGATAAGTTTTTACCATAAAAAATTATCAGACAAAATATACAGGGGTTGAATGTGTTAGGGCAAACCCTTTGAAGTCAAATCTTATCATGGTAAATATAAAACAAATCTTACCAGGGGTGTCTGTGTTAGGGCAAAACCTTTGAAGTCAAATCTTATCATGGTAAATATAAAACAAATCTTACCAGGGGTGTCTGTGTTAGGGCAAAACCTTTGAAGTCAAATCTTATCATGGTAAATATAAAACAAATCTTACCAGGGGTGTCTGTGTTAGGGCAAAACCTTTGAAGTCAAATCTTATCATGGTAAATATAAAACAAATCTTACCAGCAAGACCTCCAGTAGCAGCAGATATGCCATAGTAACCATACTGTGGCAGGAAAACATTCTCAGCTCTCAAACACATTTCATAGTCATTATCATTGTTTGTGTTTCCATTATGGAACAGGACCTAAAAACATAGTATGGTTAGTTACTCATGTTATGAACCATGCTATTTTCCTTCAATTGCACACACACACACACACATATCTAAATATATATAACATCTTTCATTTTTTAGTTCAAATTTCTACTAAGTTAACTATTAAAGATCTTGATTTTTTTATTTCGAAAATTGTCTCTATTCTTAGCAAACTTTGTTCTTCAGATTATCATGTCAGAATGAAATTTTTTCCTTGGAGCTTTTAAAACAATAAAAAACTGTTGCAGATAGATTTGAATTAATACCAAGCAGGTGGTAGCACTGCCTATGTAGGGATGGCTCAGATTGTTCAACAAAATGGTATTTTAAATATCTCCACAATAGGTCATAATTTTACAATACTATACAGTGTTTCCATTAATAACAATATCTATGTAATGACCGAGTCACAAGTTCTGGAAATGTCTGTAAATATCATAGCTAAAAGTTTGAATTTCTTGTTCTTCTTTCTGCTGCTTGTTTTTTTATTACATGACAACTCAAAAACCTAAACAATAGCATCAACCAATTTCATTGAGGTGACATAGTTTCAAACAGGTATCTGCTTTTATAAGTATTATTAATAACTAGTAATTACAAAAATCATAGTTTTAGTGTAAACAATGTTATCATTACCTGTTGAAGCAAACTTTCTTACAGAAATTTGGTGTTTCTTTAAAAAAGCTTAAAGTACAGGGTGAAACAGAAATTACCAGCCAATACTAGAAAAACAATATTACAGTTGGAACCACATTGTATTTAGAACTTGATTATAAATACAACCTTCCTATGTCTATTGAAACACTGCATTAAAAAAACAAGTAAAGAAAAAACTTTTTAGAAAAGTAAGTAAATGTAGGGATGGATAATGTCAATCCTTCAAAAACAATGCAAACAAGATAGTAGGGATGGAACTTGTATCATTCCTACATAATAGCACAAGGAAGAATTAACATATAGAATATATATAAATATTTAATCACAATAGGATTTAATTTATCCTATTTTTGTCTGTTAACATTCTACTACACTGTCTGCCTGTGCTATTAAGTGGGGATGATGCAAATGTCATCCCTACTATCTTGTTTGCATTGTTTTTGAAGGATTGATGTCAGCCATCCCTACATTT